TCGAGCGGGTTGTATTGTATATCTATCTGAGATGAAGCTTTTGAAATCACTTTTTTCGGCCCTCTCTCTCTCTAAAGCATTCCAAAACTCTAATTTGAGACCTTCTCTCTCTATAATACATCTTCTCTCTACAAATACATCTAGTTCTAGTGATCCTCTACCCTAGTTCCTTTGTATAAAGTGTGGAGCTTGGCGTGATCTTCATTTTGATCCGAAAAAGTTGGTGTTTGGAGCATCTTGGGTTTTCACCTTCATCTCCTTTGAGTCTTTTCACTTGAGGTAAGAATAACCTACTCCTTTCTATGAGTTTTGACATAAATGTTATGTATTTTGTATAAATGTTGAGTTATGGAAATTTTGGGTGAAGTTAGGGTTTGAAATTGAAATTATAAAAGAGGGGTTTTCTATTTTTGGGGTTCCAAGTATATGTGTGGTCCCTAAAATGAAGTTATTGTGTATGATTGATGAAATTTGGTCGTAGGATCAATATTTGAGAAAAGGGGGGAAAAAACTCTAATTTAATATAATTGATTAGTTGGTATAATTAACCCGAGAAATATGGAAATATGAAATTGAGTAGAAAATCATGAAATTGGAAAGTTATGAGATTGAATGGTGTAGTTGGATTAGTTAATCACTCACCTATGAAATTGTTGATAATTTATCTGTTTGATGAATTTATTACCTGTTTAGAAATAATTATTTTGGGCTATCGATGGAGGATAGTCTTATTGTTGTAGATATTGCATGATGATTAGGTGAATTAAAACTAATCAATTGAGTATGTCATTGAATATGATGAAGGGAATAACACATTGAATATGTGCTTTGCTTAATCATTATATAGGATAAGTGTTTAAATACATTGCATATGTATCTTGTTTGGGAGGAGATAGGGGATGTACTCCATGGTTTGAGAGGAGATAGGGGATGTACTCTCAAACCTGTTTGGGAGGAGATAGGGGATGGACTCCGTTGATAACTAAGTTGGCCGGAGTGTCCACGGTGAAAGTCCCGAAATCTTAATTACGTTTGTATAACGTAGGTGATTGAAGTATTAATGTTATGAGTTGTAGTCTCATTTTGAATTGAAGTGTTGAAGTATTAATGATATGAGTTGTAGTCTCATTTTAATTGATTATGATCGAAGTGTTGTTGATATGGGTTGTAGTCTCATTTTAAATTGTCTGGATAAATAGAGAACCATAACCATGAATTGGTTTGGATAATGAAACGGAAAGGGATTGAAATATATTTGTGAATATGGGTTGGTTATGAAAGAGCTGTATGTTTGTTTATATGAGTTAAACATTTATCAAATGCTAATGTTTTAGTTATTACTCATATTTGGTTTACCGTATCTCTACTGAGCTTTGGCTCACCCTATATGGGACATCATTTTCAGGTACAGGTGATATGCCGCCTCCAAGGACGTAGCTTGGGAGGTTTTAAAAGCTGAAGGCTTATTTATTTTTATTTTTATTTTGTGTAGTTACCTATTTTTATTACATGTACTTAAAGCCAAGGGCTTAATGTGTTTAGAGTTAGAACTCTCATTTTTTTTGTAACCAAGTGTTGGCTTGGAAAGTTGTAAGCCCGTAGGGCATTTACTTTTGTTGTCAACATGTAATACTTTTGAAAAGAATACTCTGATAAATGCATAAATGTTTATTTCTCTCATGTCTTTGGATGTTAAGAATGATTGGTTAATATGTATTATTTTGACAGCGTTACAGTATCATTGCTCAGCTAGGTTGTTATAGATATTAACCAAAGCTGTTAGGTTGTTAAAGTAGTTCACTAGAGAAGGTTAGGTAGTTATAAGTCAAGTTAAGGTTAGGTTAAGATGTGTGTTAACTTGTATAAAAGCTCTGATGTACTTACCAATTGTGGTATTGAATATTAAGATCAACATCTTCTACATTCTCTTTATGGTATCAGAGCTCTAGGCTCTTACGAGCATCAGAGGAGTTCATCAAGGGCTTCTCCTTCCACCATTGCTGCAGCTTTATCTACTTGTTCTTCTGTCTCTACATCATTACCTTTCAATCTTACTTTGTTAATCTCGAATCTCAGTGCATTTGTCACTACAAAACTTGATTCATCAAATTACATAGTGTGGAAGAATCAACTTCAAAACATTTTGCAAGCAACAAAGCTTCTTGGTTATGTTGATGGATCTGAGGTATGTCCTTTATCAACTGTGCTTGATTCACACAATCTTGAAGTCTTGAATCCTGCTTACACTCTATGGAATACTATTAATGCACACCTCCTGAGTTATATCACTGCTACACTATCTCTATCTATTTTCACATTTGTGATTCATTGTCAATCGAGTCATGAAGTGTCATGACCCCTTACCCACCCCTATGGATAAGGTCATAACCGGCCAGTAATCATGAGATTACTTGCGGCCTCAAACATATTTTAAATATATTTCAATAGAATAAGGGGCCAAACGGAAGCAGATTTAAAAATTTTCGTCCAATGAGCTGTGCTTACGTGGCAAAGCAAAACATTCCAGAAGTAGTCTATAATAACTCACACACATATGCATAGAGTTAACATCTTATATTCACCCAGGCACTTTCAGATATGCAGCCAGCCAAACAAAAACTTATTTACATAGGTGATCCAACGTGTTCACCAAAATAGCAAAAGAGTAAACGAAGGGTCAAAATAACAAAACAAAGTCTCGTGCATGAGACATTCGAGCTGACTCCTCAAACTGACTTCCTCTCACATTCTTCACTGAAGCTGGGTTTGGATCTCTCTTTGCCCACCTACATGCACATAAATGAGAGTGAGCGAAAGCCCAGTGAATAATATCAAAATAAAAAAATTACATGAATGAAATTCGTAACGGACATATCCAACGGCCTTAGGCCCATTCATTTTTCTATCTAGTACATCAAACAGCCTCAGGACCAAACATATCGAATGACCTTGGGCCCAATTCATTCTTATCAAACAGCCTCGGGCCCAATTCATCCATGTCAAATGGCTTTTGGCCCATTCATTTATGTCCAACAGCCTTTGACCCAATCATTCATGTCGAATGGTTTTTGGCCCAACCATTTATGTCAGACGACCTTTGGCCCAATCTTTTATCTCAAACGGCCTTTGGCCCAATCATTTATGTCAAATGGCCTTTGGCCCAATCATTCATGTTGTGTGCATTTAATACTTGAGATCATAAGCATGTTGTAATCATAATCATATTCCAACAGCTTTATTCAATCATTAGCATAACGAATATCCAATTCAATTTAACTACTCTGCAGAACTCATACATAAATGAGCATTTGGAAAGTAGCATACTTCAATACATTCTTATTAAGATATTACTCATAGTGTTCTGTTGATGGATTTGCCTTTGCACTTGGCCCTACACAATTTACAACATATCGGGTCACAAGTGATTCAATTCGTTCTCAAATTGTTTATTTCTCTTAGGCCGCTTTCTTATCCCTTTAACTCATTTACAATGTTCAATGCATGCCTAAGAGTGCTTAGAAATGGAAGAGAATGGAAAAAGCAGCATAAAACAACTTTTCAAAATTTCTGAAACAGGGCTCTCCGCTCAAGCACATGATTGGTCGCTCGAGTGGACTGCAAAACTCTAAGAAAGTACTAGTTCTATGCATTTCACGCTCGAGCTAGGTTTCTGGTGCTCAAGCAATGAGCCTTGCAAAACAGAGTTTGCTCAAGCACACACTTTGTCGCTCGAGCTACAATACAAATTTCTGCAAAACTTCTGGGAGCTACAATTTCACGCTTGAGCCAGACTTTCCTCGCTCGAGCAGACCAGTCGAATTCTGGGTTTTCTGGCATACTGTCTAAGCTTTAAAACACAACCCCAAAGACCCCAAAGTTTGCAATTCAGTGCCAAATCATAGAAAAACATTGTGTAACACAAAACCTTAGATAATTTGAAACCAAATGTCCAAAATCATTTCACATTCTCCTCGTCAATTTCAAAACTCATGCATTCAACCTGATACAACTTCATATCTTCATCAATCATGCATGCATGTTAATTTTTGACCCCAATTCTATTTTAAATGGTACAAATGATACTTATAATCATGAAGCTCATGAAAATTATGCATGCATGTATGACTTGATGCTATATTCTTCATGTTTCAACAATCATCTTCTAAATACAAACATGAGTCTTTAGAATTAAGCTTCACACCATGATAATTCTTATATGCATGTGTATATTGACTTCAAATTCATAATGTATAGCTTAATTCTTGTTCTTTATTACCAATTCTCTTTTGAATTCATATAATCACAACTCAAACTCATGAATCAAGAGTTAGGTACCCACCTAGAAGCTCCAATCCCCCAAAATTCAGTCAATTCCTTGAGTCTAGATTCCAATTCCCAAGCTTTGAGCCAAAATTCACAATTTGAGCCCTCTTCTCTCTCTAGAACCGTTCCTCTCTCTCTCTCTCTCTCTCTCTCTCTCTCTCTCTAGAGTATACTTCAGATTTTTGGGCTCAAAATGGGGAGTCTAAGTGTGTTTGGTCCTTATATATACTAAGTGGTTAGTTTAAACTAATCCATCTTAATTAAGGTTAATCAATTGAGCCTAATTCAATTAGTTTAATCTAATTATTTTGATCCGAATCAATTTTTAATTAAACTTTACCGTAGGCTCTAAAAATCATGCTAAGCACAAAATTACAGTCAATTTCACTTTTTGACATCTCTACGACCTTCAATTTAAATTCTATAGTAGAAAATTAAATAGATTTCTGTACGGTGAACAGATAGAAATTCAAAAACACATATAATCATATAAATGGCACTCAAAATCATATTAAGCACATAACCACAATCATAATTAAGATTAATTAACATAACACTTGACAAGGTTATCACATGAAGTCTGGATTACTCTGGCCAAAAGATTTACCTCACTTTCTAGGTCTCATATATATCGGTTAAAGACTAAATTGAGTAAAATTACTAAAAAATGTGTCATAATGGAAGAGTATCTGAATCAATTCAAGGTGATAACTGATCAGCTTGCTTTAGTATCTTCACTTGTTAATGATAAAGATCTTATTCTTCTAATTTTAAGTGGCTTGCCTGATGAATGCAATGCCTTGAAAACTATTGTACGTGTTGGACTAGATCCTATCTCTATGGATCAACTGTGCTCTCTGCTTTTTTCTGAATCAATTCATGTAGAGTCTTCTCTTAAGCATATGCAAGCTGCTGAAACTCCAGGTCTTTTTACTTACAACACACATAGAGGCAATTTTTCTAATAGAGGAGGCCATCGAGGCCATTATAGAAGTAGAGGTAATTTCAGAGGAAGAGATTGAGGCAGGTTTTGAGGAGGTCATGCTAATCAATCTGGTTATTCTTAGAGAGGTAATAGCTTCAGCACTTTTTAGAGGGCCAGAAAAGGTTATAATAGCTATAGCTATGCTCCTACAAGCAGTTCATCTACTCCCTTAGTGACTTGCCAACTCCGTGGCAAGTCTAATCACATTGCCCCAGACTGTTGGCATAGGATGGATATATCTTTTCAGAGTGCTTAGAATATAGCTTCTCAGGCCTCACCAAATTTAGGCAACTATAAAGCCTATGTAGCATCTGCTCCTTCCTCCACTTCTGAGGTCAATTGGCTTTTAGATTTTGGAGCTACTAGTTATGTGACTAATGATCTTAATCATCTCTCTTTCTATGAACCCTATCAAGGACATGGGCAAGTAGCCATTGGTGATGGATCCACTCTTCCTATTACTCATACTGGTAAAGGTCTTCTTCCTATACCTTTATTTTCCTTTCATCTTACCAACATGCTCCATGTTCCTACTCTTTCTTCCAATTTGATTTCAGTTCATCAATTGACTAAAGATAAACATTGTACTGTTACATTTGATGAGCATTCCTTTATCATTCAGAACAAGGCTACATAGCAGATTCTGTATGAAGACTCCTATTCTCAGGGGCTTTATCCACTCATTTCATCTTCTTATATTGTTGTACCACATTCTTCTTCTGCTGTTGTGCCATATTCTTCTCCTGTTGTTGTGCCACATTCTTTTCACATCTGCCTTTCTTGTTCTATTGCTGCATCTCCTGCAGTCACACCAAATTGGCATTTTCGGGTTGGTCATCCTTCTTCCAAGAAGTTGCATCACATAGTGACTCATCATCACTTAGTTCCTAAGTCTTCTGTTTTAGTTAATAAAGGCTCTCCTCTATTTGAACATTGTTGTGTTTCTAAGAGCCATAGGTTGCCTTTCTCTTTGTCTAATTCTATTGTAAATAAACCTTTGGCCCTCATTCATATTGATGTTTGGGGCCCATTTTCAGCATATGTTTCAAGCTTTAAGTACTATGTGTTGTTCATTAATGATTTTAATAAATTTACTTGGATTTTTCCTTTTCATTATAAAAGTGAAGTGTTTGCTAAATTTCTCGAATTTAAAGATTTTGTTGAAACTAAATCCACCACTAAACTTTAGATTTTAAGGAGTAACAATGGGGGTGAATATCTCAGTCATGCTTTTCAAGATTTTCTTAAACAAAGAGGGATTGAGCATCAATTTTCCTATCCTCACACTTCCTCTCAAAATGGTGTGGCTGAAAGAAAACATAGGTATCTCATAGAAACAACTATCGCTCTCATGCATCACTCTTCTCTTCCTTTGGTTTATTGGTTTGATGCTCTTGCTACAGCTGTTTTTCTTGTCAATAGTCATCCTACTCCTAAGTTGAATAATCTCAGTCCTTATAAAGTTTTATTCAAACACAAGCCTGATTATAAGCTGTTAAGGACATTTGATCGTAGATGTTATCCTTGGCTTAAGCCTTATAACTCTCATAAACTTCAAACCTGTCACGCCCCCAATTAATAATATAAATAATCCAACTCGTACGAGAAAATGAATATGATAGAATTAGCATGCTTTCAGTCATTAGAGTTCGTATTACAAATGGTATTACATGCATTATACATTCATAAATGTTCATCCTGAATCTATAGCATGTAACACTGATTAGTAACAGCAAAATAAACGCCCTACAGGCTTACATCTTTCCAAGGTATTTTCTTAGTTACAACAAAAAGGGAGTCATAAGCTCCATACATATAAAGCCCTCGACTTAAATAAACATTTAAACACAAAATAACAAAAATAGAGCCTCCAGCTCCTAAGTCATCCCAAGCTACGTCCTTGGAGGAAGCATGTCACCGGTACCTAAAAATGGTCTCCCAAGTAGAGTGAGCCAAAGCCCAATAGAAACAGTCTAACACAATATATGAGGTTTAACTAAGATATGAGTGTCAGATAAACATTCAATATTTATGACCCATTTACATTCTTGCCATGATCATTCAGCACTGATAATCACATCTCAATCCATTTACATTTATTCATTTCAAGTCAATTCATTTTATTCATGTCATATACCAAGTGTATAATTTTCCAAATACCCAACCGAGGCTACAACTCAGTGGCTTTCAATCAACATAACTATCATACAAGCACTTCAACCTTGCCATTTTATAGAAATTTCATCCACGAGATCGGCACCCATGTATACATAAGATTTCGGGACTTTTACCCTAGACACTCCATCCAACTTAATTTTCAATAGAGTCCATCCCTTATCTCCTCCCAAACAATGGAGTACATCCCATTTCTCCTCCCAAAACGTTATACATATACAATGTATTTAAAGCATCGTCATATTCAATGACTATCCACAATACATATTTAATCCATAATCATACCGTCATATTAAATGAAACAACTTAAATGATTAGTTTCAATTCACCTAATCCTGATGCAATTTCTACAACAAACATAGCTATCCTCCACCGATAGCCCAATATAGATATTTCTAAACAGATATACAATCTTTTTAACAGATAATTCATCAAATTTTGATAGGTGAGTGATTAAACAAATTCAACTACACCACTCATTTATACCTTTCCCCAATTTCACATTTCTCACACCAATTTCATTATTTATACAAAATAATTATTTAACACATATTAGGGCAAATTTCTTCTTTTTTCAAATATTAACCCAAAGGTCAAAATCCACTATTTTAACACAAGATAATCTCATATCCAAAACCCCATAGTCATTTATGTGACCCAACATGGAAACCCCTCTTTTCAATTTGAATCCAAACCCTAAATTTACTCAAGATACTCCCAAATCTCACCATTTATACATAACAACAAATAACTAGGTTAAAGATCATAATAAAGTATAGAATATCCCTACCTCAAGTGTAAAAGCTCGAAGGAGAAGTGGAGAAACTTCAAAGAGGCCCAAACTTGACTTTATTCGGATCAAATAGAAGCCCACGGGATGCTCTAACGTTTTATCAAAGGGAGTAGGGCGGTGAGATCACTAGATCTAGGCCCAAATGTAGAGAGAGAGAGAGAGAGAGAGAGAGAGAGAGAGAGAGAGCGTGTGAATTTGAGAGAGAGAGGGTCCAAATCTAGGTTTTTGGAAAGTTTTAGAGAGAGAAAGAAATGAAAAGTGATGTAAAACATTACTTTCGTGATCTAATATACGAACAGTTTGCTTGAGCGGAGAAGTTGACTCTCGAGCGTCAAACACAAAGTTTTGTTTCGCTCGAGCGCGGAATGCACACTTCCAGTATTTTTGCAGACAATAGACAAACCGCTCGAGCGCAAGAAAAGCTGCTCAAGCTTCCACCCACTTGAGCGTGGAAAACACCTCTCCAGTATTTTGCAGACGTACAAAGTATTGAGTGTTTGCGAACCCGCTCGAGCGCAAGAAGGCTCGCTTGAGCGGAAGACCAAAATTCTGGGCAACAACATTCAAGGCCAACTAGCAACCAACCTGTTCTAAACACGCCCAAGACATTCCAAAACTCAAATTCAAAGAGAAAAATAAGGAAAATACATCAATAACAATATTAAACCACAAGACTCGAGTCTGAAATACAACAAAGATTGGGTCAAGACCGGAATCGTTATAAAAAAAAGTCTATTCCTTGTGTGTTTATTGGTTACCAGCCTTCTATCAAAGGATATAGATGTCTGGACCCTTAAACTGGAAAAGTGTATACCTCTAGACATGTAGTCTTTGATGAATCATCCTTTCCTTTCTTGTCCTCATCTCAGCCTTCTTCCTCAGTCTTTCCTACTTTGCTTGATTTCGTTTGGCATGCTTTTGCAGACCTGCAGTCTTTCCCACTATTTTCTGCACCACATCCTTCTCTTGCTTCAAAATTTCCTACCAACTCTTCTCTATCCACAGCTTCTTCCACTCATATATCTTTCCCTCAGCAGTCAACTGCTCTACCTAAGCAACCACCTATTTCTGTCTATCAGCAGTCACATGCTCTGCCTTTGCTTTTACCTGTCTCAACTCCTCCTTCTGATTTATCTGTCCCAACTCCTCCTTATGAATCTCAAATTCCTATCTTTTCTGTTTTTTTTTTATTTCACTTGTTTTCCTACTCTTATTCATCCTATGCTTACCAGATCTAAGACTAGAAATCCCACTTGTTTCACTGCAACCTCCACTGTTACCTCCACTGCTACTTTTGAACCTCAAACCTATCAAGAGGCTATTGTTTCTCCTGCTTGGCAAGCTGCTATGTTAGATGAGTATGAAGCTCTCTAAAGACAGAGAACTTGGTCTTTGGTCTCTCTTTTCCCTGGTAAACAAGCTATAGGTTGCAAATGGGTTTACAAATTGTAGAAAAATTTAGATGCTCGACTAGTAGCTAGAGGTTTTCTTCAAACAGAAGGTGTGGACTATTATGAAACCTTTAGTCCTGTGGCCAAACAACCCACTATCATGGTTCTTCTCTGTCTTGCTCTTGATTTTAATTGGCCCATTAAACAACTTGATATTTCCAATGTTTTTTTTGCATAGTGTTCTAGAGGAAGAGGTGTACACGACTTAACCACAGGGCTTTATTCATTCCACCCAACCTTCTCTTGTCTGCAAGTTACACAAAGCTCTCTATGACTTAAAATAGGCTCCTATAGCTTGGTTTTCTACATTTTCTACTTTTCTTTTTTCTCAAATTTTTTTTGCAAGTCACAGTGATTCTTCATTGTTTGTCAAAAAGACTTCCATTCCATAACTATCCCTCTCATCTATGTAGATGATATTCTACTCACAGGTAGTGATCCTCATTACATCCAATCTCTCATTTAGCAAATGCATGCTAGATTTTCCATGAAGGAACTTGGTTTTATTAATTACTTTCTAGGCATTTTTGTCACCAAGTCTGCCTCAAGTTATATCCTTTCTCAATCCAAGTATGCTTCAGAGATTTTGGCCAAAGCTGGCATGAGTAATTGCAAACCTTATTCATCTCCTATGGCTTCTAAATTCTCCACTTTCTCTTCTGATGATGTCTCACCCTTTTCTCAACCTTCTTTTTATCGAAGCTTGGTAGGTGCTCTTCAATACCTCACCATCACTCAACTAGATTTGGCTTTTGCAGTCAACACTGCTTGTCAATTCATGCAGTCTCCCTTAAATTGTCACTTTGCTGTTGTGAAAAGGTTGCTCAGATATTTGAAAGGTACCTTGGCCCATGGTCTGCATTTCTCTCGTGGTCCTTTTCTTCTTAATGCCTACTCAGATTCAAATTGGACTGGTAGTACTCTTGATAGGAGATCTACAATTGGATACTGTATTTATCTTGGTCCCAATCTCATTTCTTGGACTGCTAAGAAACAACCCACTGTGTCCAGATCCTCCTCAGAAGCCGAGTATAGGGCCTTAGCTCTGACTTCAGTTGAACTCTGTTGACTTGGCATGCTACTTGCTGAGCTTCATGTTTCTGCCTTTGTTCCTCCTCTATGGTGTGATAACCTTTTAGCCATTGCTATGGCTCATAATCCTGTTTTTCATGCTTGTACAAAACATATTGAGGTGGACTATCATTTTGTACGCCAAAACGTTGCTACTAAGACCCTGCACAGATCAGGTTGTAGATATCTTCACTAAACCTCTCCCAGGGGCTTCTTCTAGTATCTTCAAAGCAAACTCCTAGTCCTTCATAGTTCTATGAGTTTAACGGGGGATGATAAGGTTTACACTACCATCTGCTCAGCCTCAAGAACAAGAAGTTCAAGAAGCTCAAACAGAGCTCAGTGCAGCTCCCACTTAAATGCATGTGTATCATTGCTCAGCTAGTTTGTTATAGATATTAACCAAAGCTGTTAGGTTGTTAAAGTAGTTAACTAGAGAAGGTTAGGTAGTTATAAGTCAGGTTAAGGTTAGGTTAAGATGTGTGTTAACTTGTATAAAAACACTGTTGTATTTACCAATTGTGGTATTGAATATTAAGATCAACATCTTCTACATTCTCTTTACCTTTCGTTTAAATCAATTAGAATTCTGAAGCAAAAAGCCAACATGTGCATCGCATGTATGATCTCTGTGGACTTTATTTATTTATTTTTATGGATAATATTAGCAGCAGTCGTCATATTTTTAACAAAGTTATATTGTGATTCTTGCAATTCTAATTCCGTCGATTTTAAACTCAATGTAATTGGAAATGTTTTCAACTATTTATTTATTTATTGGTAATGATTTTTTTAATAATGTCCGACCCTTGTGTCAATGCAAGTTACTTTGATCTCACGATGTGAGATCCTCTCCATTACATTTATTTAAGGGTAATAAAATAATTATGATAATTTATCATTATTTTTAATTTAAAAAGAATCATTACAAACCTTAAAATAATGTAATAGAGATTATTTATTAAAACTTTGGAATGGAGAGAATCACAATTCGTTTTTAAGATCATGTTTGTAACATTTTGGCAAAAACAATCACTAACTACATGGTCTACTAGACCATTCAATTAATTTATGTAATGATTTTTAAAAAAAAAAAATTCTAACTCATTACACGGTAGGTTTTTGATTTGTTGCAGTTTGACAATTTTTTTTCACACCCACTAATCGTATCATACCTTGATCCTGTTATGAATAATTGGATTTATTTAATTTTACTTTAGTATAATGTCGAGAATGACTAGTAATTTGTTCTCTCTTTATTAACTTCGAAAAATTCAACTGTGATATGAAGATGAAACATCTAAAATCTTTTTTTTTTTTTTTTTTTTTGATCAGCAAAAATGAAACATCTAAAATCTTCCAAGATTGTGATTTGTAATTAGAATTTAATTTCAATAATGAATAATAATTCCCAATCAAATAATCATAGATCTAATCCAATTATAAGATAAATTGAAATTATATCTATTATTAAACAACAATAAGATAACACAATGATTTAATGTGGAAAAAATTATAATTGAACTCCTCCAATTATGACAAAAAATTACGGGCCAAATCACAAAATAATTCACTAAAAAAACAATGGAATTGTACAAGAGAATCCTCAATTACCTAACGAATGTTAGGAAAAATATATGATTTCTCATAAGTAAATCAATCAATGGGAATAAAAATTAATGCGAAAAAATTAAATCAAAAGCAACACAAGAATTTTATGTGGTTCCCTCAATGTGATGTATATCCACGGGATCAAAATCTGATTCCATTATCAATCAAAAAGTTTCCAAACGATTACAAACGAGACACGAATGGTCTCACAAAACCATCCTTAGGTGAATTCCAAATAATCACAAATAAATAAGAGGAAAGACCTCGCCAAATAGATGAACAAATGTCTTCAAAATAGAATTGTAGAAGACCCAAAATAATCGATCCAAATCAACCAAATATCTATGCAACCAATGCTCCAAAGTAGCCAATAAAACAAAGCAACCCAGTAGCCAAAAGATAGCCTCTTTGACCCAAAACTTTTTTCACTCCACCGAATTGATTTCAATCAATATTGATATTAAGCCATTGCTGCCGCTCCACTCCGGAGCATGTAAAAAATATTTATATATGGTTAATTCTAGAGATTTTTTTATTCAAACCCTAACTGCTACTAAATTGACTATTAAATACTTATTAGGATTTCAAAAGTCAGATATAATATATAAAATATATTATAACCAAACCAAACTAAATAAAAATACTTTTAATAAACCAATTGGGTCTCATACTCCAATAAGGAGGTATACCCAACAATTCTCCCCCTACCGACTTAGGTAGAGATATCAACCATACCCACCAAAGTTCGACACTTTAAATGTTTGTCTCTCGACAAAGTCTTTGTCAATATATCCGAAATATTATCATCTGTGTGAACCTTTTCGAATTGTAACAATTTTGAATCTAACACATCACGAATCCAATGGTATCTCACATCAATGCATTTCGATTTTGAATGAAAAGTCAAATTTTTGCTCAAGTGAATAGTACTTTGACTATCATAATAAAGCACATACCTTTCCTGCTTCAAACCCAGCTCTTGCAAAAATTTCTTCAACCATAACTCTTCTTTGCAAGCTTCCGCAATGGCAATAAATTCAGCTTCGATAGTTGAGAGACCAACACATTTTTGTAATTTAGATTGCCATGCCACGGCTTTCCTTGCAAATGTCATCAAATATTCTCAAGTAAATTTCCTAGAATCAACATCACCGGCCATGTCAGAATTCGTGAACCCATCAAGCATCGATTTACTATCCCTAAAACATGAACACACCTTCGAAGTCCCTCGAAGATACCTTAGAATCCATTTTACTGCTGCCCAATGTTGTTTACTTGAATTAGAGTGAAAACGACTCACCACACCAATAGTGTAAGCAATATCCGGCCTTGTGCAAACCATAGCGTACATCAAAGAACCAACCGCTGAAGCATAAGGAATTTTCTACATCTCTTCCTTGTGTTTGTCACTTGTAGGACATTGATTCGAACTAAGTTTGAAGTGACCCGCAAGTGGACAACCAACAGGCTTTGCTTCATCTATTTTGAACCTCTCAAGAACTTTCTCAATGTAGCTTTCTTGAGACAACCAAATCAGCCCCTCTTTGCGATCACGAACAATTTTCATACCAAGTATTTGCTTTGCCGGTCCCAAATCTTTCATAGCAAAGGACTTGCTCAACTCAAATTTCAACCTGTTAATCTTGGTAGAATCTTGACCCACAATTGATATGTCATCAACATAAAACAAAAAGAATAATAAATTTGCTATCTGAAATTTTTTTCACAAACACACAATGGTCCGAAGTGGTTTTAGAAAAATCATTATTCATCATGAAAGAGTCAAATTTTTTGTACCATTGCCGCGGAGCTTGTTTGAGACTATACAAAATTTTCATCAATTTGCAAACAAATTTCTCTTTCTCTTTCTCTACAAAACCTTCTGGTTGCTCAATGTAAATTTCTTCTTCAAGGTCACGATGAAGAAATGCGGTCTTTACATCAAGTTGCTCAACTTCAAGGTTCATACTTGCTGCCATGCCAAGTACAACCCGAATAGAAGACATCTTCACAACTGGAAAGAAAATCTCATCAAAGTCAATGCATTTCTTTTACCCAAAGCCTTTCACAACAAGACGTGCTTTGTACCTCAGATTCTTGCTATCATTCTTCAATTTGAAAACCCACTTATTTTTTAGAATTTTCCTCCCTTTAGGCAATTTCACTAAATCATAAGTGTGATTTTCAAGTAAATAATTCATCTCTTCTTCCATTGTCTTTTTCCAATCATCTTTCTTTGCATGCTCAATTGCTTCTTGGTAGCTCTCAGGCTTCCATTGATCGGAAATCAACACAAATTCATTGGGAGGATACTTTCTTGAATGTTGTCGGTTCCTTGTAGATTTTCTCAACTCAAGTTGTGGTGGCGGTTCTTGAGTTGGATGCTCTTCCTTAATTTCTAGCTCAACTTCATTAGGATTAGCATCATCCTCCACATCTTCAATAGGTGGCTACACATCTCTCCCATTTTTATCATCAACTGAAGATGAAGGAGATAGATCCATGTCGATGAGATCACTAGTTTTTGGCTCCAGTTGATCACTTTTGCCAAAGTCTTCAATTGTTTGGTCTTCAAGAAACACAACATCACGGTTTCGAATAACTTTCTTGTCAACCGGATTCCATAATCTATAACCAAATTCATCACGCCCATAGCCAAGAAAAATACATTGTCTTGACTTGCTATCAAGCTTGGATCTCTCATCTTTTGGAATGTGAACAAAGGCTCGGAAACCAAATACTCTCAAGTGCTCATAAGACACATCTTTACCGGTTCAAACTTTTTTGGAAACATCACCATTCAAAGGATAGGAAGGAGACAAATTGATCACGTCAACCGCTGTCTTCATTGCCTCACCCCAAAAGGATCTTGGTAATTTAGCTAATGAAAGCAAACACCTTGTTCTTTCTACAATGGTGCGGTGCATCCTCTCGGCAATGCCATTTTGTTGAGGAGTCTTCTTAACTGTCTTTTGGTGCCAAATTCCTTGGCTGCGACAATACTCATCAAATGGCCCAATGCATTCACCACCATTGTCTGATTGGATGCACTTTAATTTCTGCCATGTTTCTCTTTCTACCATGGCTTGAAAATGCTTAAATACATATGGAACTTGATATTTAGTTTTTAGTATAAAAGCCCAAACTTTCCTTCAATAATCATCAATAAAAGTAACAAAATAAAGTGCACCACTATGTGTTCTAACTTTCAAAGGACCACAAACATCCGAATGAATCAACTTCAAAACATTTTCTTTTCTAGAAGCAACATTTTTATGAAAAGAAACTCTATGTTGTTTACCCGCCAGACAATGAACACAAGTTTTGAGATGTATACCTTTCAAACCAAGTAGAAGCTCTTTCTTGGACAAAACTTGTAACCCCTTT